GTGGTCCGTTTTCTCATTTACTCTAAAAGCAATCTGGCTATCACCCGCTCTGTCTGTGTAGGAATTGTAATCAGCTGATACCCAAGATGTAAGACAACTGCAGGCGAAGCACTGAAGACCGGCAAATGGGTGGCTTGTGCAAAAGGCCAATTTTTCCCCAGTAGAATGATATTGTACAATTCAAATGAGCCTCATAGAAAACATAATAAAATACGAATCACAGAAATGCTATCTTGCTTCAAACTCAAAAATGAAATACTCATGGTTACAGCAAAAAGAGAAAATTACAAAAATTTTCTAGAAAGAAAATAATTCCTTCACTTATATACTATTTATTCTACATATTTTAATAATAATACCTGTTTATTTTCTTTAAATCATGAATACTAATCTCAAAACACTTTTTTCTAGTTTTTATATATTTCCAAAGTAACATATGTAAGCTCACCTTGCCTAAAGCTTTGAAAAAACATTTAATTTACTAAATTTACTATTTAAAAGTAAAATTTACTAATCATAAATAAATATAACACAACTTCTATTCTGACTCATACTATTCCATTCTAGGTGAAAGTTTTGAATTAAAGTCTTTAAAACACAATTTGGTACTTAATAATTATTTATTCATAATACTAAAGATGTCCTCTGTCCAGAAAACTTTACGTCCTTGCTTTATTGTAGGAAATTTTTTTTGAGGAAAAAAATGAACAATTGGTTGTTCATATGCATGCAGGATCCTATCATTTCTCTGGCATTTTATTATCACAGGGTCTGAAAACATTTTACAAAAATAAGTGACATTGTATAACTAATTTAAGCAACCATGTGTGCTTACAGATAATTTAAACTGTGTACACAGAAGCTGACTTCCTTGAGGCCACAAAAAAAATTTCAGTCACAAGGCTCAACATTTTGTACAGTGTAACTGAACTCTTAATTCCATGATGAAAAGTCAGTTTTTAATAGAATTTTTAAGCATATTTATGAAAAATACAGTGGAGAGTGGCTTTGCATGGCTTGGGTCATCCTGACCTAGCAATACAAAGCAACCCAACTGGTTTCACGGCTTTCTGGCTGCACCGTCAAAGCAGAGCTACTCAGAAAACTCAATGACACTATAAGGAAAGTCCAGCACTCTTAATGGACTGGGGCTGACAGTAAATCACAGAGAAAATGGCTTGAGTCTCCATGCTGAGGTAGCGTGGAGTCATGGAAACATCCCCTAATGAAGTGAGGAGTAAGGAGACCCTGGCTCAGCTTACAGCTCTGCCACCCAACTCTCTGGAGAGCCGGCCCAGTGGGTGACAGGGCAGTAGGGTATTTTCCTCCTGATCAAGCCCAGCCAAGCCACAGAGATGCTTGAATAAAAAACACCAAAAGTGAATAAGACCAGCTTAAGTAACACAAGAAAAGAATACTCAAGTTAAATTAAAATATATTTCACATATATTTTATGTGAACTTATGTGATCACAGGAGATCAACAAATACACTTATAATTGTAGAATCTGAAAAAAAATGTAAAAAACAAATTATATCACACTCTTACTCTCAAGGAATAAAAGAAAAAAATGGTGACACAGTAAGTAGCATGAAGAAGTAGTAAAGCACAATAATTAAAAAGATTCAGATGAAGAGGTAATAGTGATTTCTGATGTCAGCTCTTGGAAGAGAAAAGGGCTTAAGAAGAATCATGCAAAATGGTAAGAAATAGGCTAACACCAGCTAAGAATCCAGCAAAGATGAACTTCTCTTTGAAGAGAGTAGAACACCTAAATCTACAGGACCTAAAGGAACTTGTCAAAAAAACCCCCACAATATAGATAATTTTATATTCAACCCTATATATAAGTAAGCAATAAAATGGTCTCGATTATTAGATTTAATGCCTAAAGATTTCTTTCCTTTCCCTAAGATTTCTGTTTTGCTATAAACAAGATAGGTATTTAAGATACCTATCTTCAATAACTATTATAAAAATTCTTTCCCTCTAGTCCTGTTATGACAGCCATCACATGACTCCCTAAACATGCACAGAATATGAAGCTGGTTCAGATTTCACAGTTACCAGAGGCCTTAGATTTAATTTCTCATTTCCTGTTTCTATCAACACAATTTTTTAGTTTTATTTATGGGTCTTCAAGAAGCAAATATAAGAAAGAGGCTTTAACACTATTACATACTACCATATGCGTATAGTTTCACTGGGGAAAACAACTGACTATTTCTTAAAGTGCTGCTGTTTTAAGGCAGGACTAAGTTTTATATAATTCGGTATAATTTCAAGCACCTAGTTGACCGACAGCCTCAAAATGTAGACAAAATGTAGGATAAATATGAACAAAATACTCACTTCAACAGTCTCAATCTTTCCCTCATGGGGATGTGGGGTTCTTGGGTAGATATCAAGAAGATGTGGTGGTGAATCAAAATGTAATCTTTTGAGATTTCTTTTATTTAGAGCTTTACTAGGCAATTCATCAAAGTTAGTCCTCCATAATAAGACCTATAAAGAAAGTCAGTGATATTGGCAGTTATTAACTTGCATGTATAAGCAACAGAACTAATTTTTTTAAAAATGAATATACAGAATTATCCCCCAAAGCAATCAGAAACCTTAGATATATATTTCAAAAATATTACTATTTCTCGATACTTTGTTTTAGGTGTGGTGGAGGAGAGATTTAGCATTTTGAATTGGCTTCATATCTAGTTTAAAATTCATATTAAAAATATCCTTGTTACAATTGCCTCCAGTGTTAAAATAATTTTTTAAAAATCTTGTTATCTTAAAATCCTCTACCACACCCCCCAAAGCCCATTTTTGGCTTGATCATCCACTTTATTCCATAAATCTGGCTGCAAATGACTTTTGGTCAATTTCAAATAAATGCAGATTCACTACATAAATGATTTATATTTGTAGTCCTCAAGAAGCTTCACATTTGAAGAAATAAGACATACAGACAAAAGATGAGGTAATAACTTAAGCAGAAGTGCTGTATACTTACTGAAAGTGGGCATTCAGTGTCAGCTACATATATAATTACATGTAAGAATGAGCAAAACAAAATATTTGAGTTCCAAAAATTTATCAGAACTGGTACTATTTCAGCTATGAGAAAGCAGACTTCATGGCACTAAATTAAAATATAAATTCATTGATAATAACCTTAACATATTCAAACTAGCTGGTTGTAAAAGTCTTAGCTGAGGTCAGGGATTCCTTTATACTAATCAAACCAAAGAGGGAGCTAAAAAATTTACAAACCTGTGCGTCTGCACCTCCTGATGTAAATAGCTCTCCACCTTTTGAAAATGAAACAGTAAAGACAGGTCCCTAAAAAATAAAAGGAGATAAAATACAAAAAACACTTGGTGATGCTTTTTCATGGCTAAGAAGATCGTGAATACCAATTTTCATCCTAATTTATGTAGATTACTTATACAGTAAGTGTGATAGAACATACCCAGTTACCACAACTAATGCTGGCAGAACAAAGATAATCAAAGAACCAACTCAATTACATTAAAACACAAATAAATGATACTAAAAAAAAATTCTAAAAATTAATAGGAAAATAACCCTTTTCTCCTTTCAAGAAAAACTTGTACATATGTAAATTGATAACAATTTCTGTTAAGATATTCTGGCTTTGGACTCTATACTCAACCAACCACTAGCAGAGACTGGATGATAAATATGCAGGTGATGGGAATGAGGCTATATAAACAAAGGACATTTCCTGGCCACAACAGGCTTCTCCGAGTTCTTCCTTCATGTAGGCAACACTGAATCACTAAAAGTTGTAAGAGCAGGACACAGACATGGATAGGAGGAGAGCTGTGATTGATGAAAATTAGTATCACAACTGTGAGAATGAACTGGAGTAAGAATGCTGGTTCGAGGCCAGTTAGGATGGTTGGAGGCCTATTACCCAGGTGAGAGGTAATGAGAACTTGACATTGAACGGTTACTGCAGAGTTGGGCAAGACTGGACTTGGGAGAGGCACGTGAAGCACAGCCTCTAGGACAATTTTTGAGTTAAAATAAGAGTAATTACTTCTCATCTCAAAAATATTAATGTACTCTATTTGTTTTTACTATGTCCTTAATCTACACAAGAAAAGTTTTGGGGAAAAACATCTTGTATTTTTCCAGGTAGATCATCCCACGGACCTAGGTTATTGTAGCTTCAAAAACACCTTCACCTCCAGACTGTGAAAAATACTATCTTTGTGTAGAGTGTTTTCCTTCCAAAATACTGTGTTTATCTTTTTTCCCCTATTATTTTGTACTTCTTTCATGGATATTTCAACCCTTGGCCACTTTTGTCGGTTGTGTTTATTCTTCCTAAACCCATGGATACGCATGTATCTGCGATGGTTAATGTCTATTTCTGCTTCACCCTAATGCTTCTGCAGAATAAATGATAAAGCGAAGCAGGAAACCAGGCAGGATATATGAAAGTAGAAAGAATCCCTTTTCTTCTAGACCACAAAGCTCATT